ACTCAATATGAATATGAATCGAATTCGTGACTTTCGACTCTGAATAAGAGTGACAATCACAGCACCAAAATATCCGGATTCTGGAAAGATGATAATTAACCCATCTTGAAAAAAACAACACGTCTCCATGACAACGATCGATGTTAACGCTGTTTGAAGAAATAGTCGTCGTTTATTCTGAGAATCATACCAAACCTATAAATGAACACAATGCGTGAGAAAATAGCAGAGTAACCGATTGTCAAACGAATGTGGTACGTATAGTTACCACCGGGTCTTTGAGGTCTAACAAGGTGAACAGAATTTTGAAGTGCAGAACCCTGGAAAGAAGCTCCTTGGCCTTCATATCGCAAGCGACGACAGTGCAAAATTCTGCACGATAAAAAGTTACTAGAAGCAGCCATGACCTATTTTCCAGAACAACTCCGGAGATTTCTGACGGGAAGAATGACAAACACCGGTCACGGTGGTTGGGGTAACCCGGGCCTCAAGGCTGAGACGTCTTGCCCAGTCTCATGCATTGGTCGTCCTGGTAACGAGAACTTATCTTTGCGATTGGGAGGAGCCACGAGGCATTGTTTTGCATGCAACTGAAACGAGCGACTGTGAGGGACACTGGCAGTGGGCGGAGCTATCAGGGGTGCAAAGAGACCGGGAGCGGTTCTCCAAAAACCATTAGCCGCTCAGTCGGTCGAGAAACTCCCCGCCTGAGACAGACGAATCTCCAGGAACATTATGGACACTTGCAAACAGACGAAATACTGCCCGGACCGGGAATCGATCCCCGGTCGAACAACAGCATCAACTACGTTCCCGGCTCGCGAAATAAAGAACAGAAACAACACACATCCACACTCCGTACGGAAAGACCGCCCAATACTTCGCTACCTTCACCGAATTGCTCATGAGAACCAAGTGAACCATCGCAGGGATTATCGGCCGGTAAATGCATGATTTGGTCATCCCTGCATCGCTCAAATGCCCACAGTAATCCCGCTTTATAATCCCCCCTCGGGGCACGTCATGACGTCACTGGAATCAGCCGGAGTAGGGGCCCCGCTGTTTACAGTTACAGAATCAAACTCAGTGCGAATATAAATCATTTCCAGACACAGCGGCGGGATATCCTTAACCCTTTGAAGCCGAAGATCGTCTGAATATTATTTATGAATTCAGTCCGTACCGCGAAGAAACCACTACACCTCACCATTACGAAAATCAGCTGGTTAACCCTTTGAAGCCGAAGCTCGTCTTCATAATATTTACGAATCCAGACCGTACCGCGAAGAAAACACTTCACTTAACCATTTGAAGTCGAATCAGGCGGTACCACATAACATTTAACAAAAGAACATCCCGGGCAAAGCCTTAAGAGATCTGCCTAAGCCAATTTAGGCACAGGGCTGGCAGAATCCGTTAACGCGTTTGCTTCCTCGATGTATCGATAACTACAGACGACTAAATTGCCAACTGGGCACTTCTCGGTCTGTGTGCAGCTGACATCTTGAATTCGAAAGTATTTACGCACATTCTATATAAATCCTCAGAGTGAGATAGATCTTGTTCAGCCCTGTTTTTATCATCTAACAGGCGTGTGATTTTGCTTCATTGGTGACCTCTTTTAAGATTTCATTTTTTCCACATTTAATTATACGCGTTCCAGAACAGCCGTTTTTAACCTCAACAACTCGCACGTCTATTAATTATGGTCATTTTTTAATCGTTCCCAATTGTATCATTCTGTTAACAAAGTTTTCTACCGACTGAAATGCAAAATATTACTCCAAGCAATAAAAATCTATTGGTATTAACGGTTGCAGGACATTATTAGCACTGACATTCGTATCAACTTGGACTGGAATCAACCCCCAACATCGTAATCAACCTTTAGTTCCGTCTTACACGAAGACGCTGTCTTGCCAAAAGAATGCGAGGCCAGAGAATTTTTCTCGACAAACAAGCAGCGTGTCTCAGATAACAGACCAAACCATTCGGGTCTTGCGTCAGTTAGATAAGGCAAACAAACAAACAAATATCACGAGGCGTATTTCACACGTAACAACTCAACTTTCTCCATCACTAAAACCCGAAGGATCAATACACTGAAATCTGTTACGGGTCTAAGAGATATGAAATATGAGAAAATTAAATGAGGAGCTGTTCAACAAATATTGTTAGGGAGGGAAAATTAAAAATGTTCAGATGGACCGGAGCAGCAACACGAGAAAAACACACAATTTAGGTCACAAGATCTCTCACCGTGTTCTGATAACTTTCACACCCACGCCAGGTCTTCAAGTAGAATATAAGCTCATGTACAATGAAAGAACATAAGATAGGAATAAAATCAACTGTTTAATACTTTAAATCCCTGCGGTAACACCTGCTTTAAATAATCACTAACTCTGCATTCAGTATCTGTGTGTTTCGTACGATTCTCAGAACAAACAGCGATTATTTCCTTAACCATCGTTTACCACTTAATCTTCGTAATGGTGAAGTGCTGTGTTTTCTTCGCGGTACGGACCGAATTCTTAAATACTGTATTATTTACATGTAATTCGGCATATCCAGATTAAAACCAAGTTCTGTCATTCAAGACAACATCTCTCACTAAAGAACTGAGCTTTGGGTATTTAACGACATCATTCCAAACATACTGTGTAGCGCAGGATGAAATAAAGAACAGGGCGATATACGGAGAAAAGTTTTTCAGTAAGGCGGCCGAGACTAAAAAACCGCGTAGTTCAGAATCTGATCCACTGTCGTGAGAATATCCTGAACTGAACTCAAGCAGAACCTGTTCACAGAAATCATGACATGCCCGCCTACGGACATACAAACGCTGCTACATAATACGTGTTCGCTGAGGTTAGTTGAATTTCAGTGCGCTGTTATACCGACCTAAACGAGGTCATCGGACAGACGGGCGTCGGCTAGACTTTTCACTTTCACATCTCAGCTTCCGCTTTGAATGCCACCCGCAAAAACCACGCATGTGCGTAAATAACTCGCATTGCCGGTATCGCGAAGGGCGAGCTGGTGGCCTCATGACCTCGTCTTCCTGTCGTCTTGTAACAAAGGAATGTCGTCTGACCCTGACTTCGCATATTTCAAAATCCCTTATAAGTGTAGCAATTTTCGTTTAAAGGCCTAAATTAGTCTAAATAATATTTAACAATTCAGTCCGTACCTGAAAGAAAAACACGACGCGTCTCCATGACAACCACCAGGTGGCCAACGCTGTTTAGGAAAATAATCTCCGTTTAGTGTAACAATCATATGAAACACATAAACATACTGTGTGAGCAAAATGTAGAGTTAACTATAACGTCAAATCATGTGGTACATATAGTTACCAATGTCCTTTAAAGGGTTAACCACGACGCCAGTTTTCGCTTACAAGGAGAGTGTACTTAAAGTCTTGCGTTGAGCAATTTTCTCCGTCCTCCCAAGAGCCAAATATTCTCCTCCCATAACGAATATCACGCGGATGAAACTTTCAAAATGGCACATGGCACCTTCCTCCACAATTCGAGGGGCATTATCTTCTTAAAATCTCATTCGACGCGAAAGAATAAACTAACCAGCGAAGTCCTGGTGACCGAGGCAAACAAAATGGAGACGCGAAGGACATTTGTCGACTGCCACACAGAGTAAATCCCCTTGCAAGCGGCATTAGCATTCGTAGCCCTGAACGCTCCAACAAGTCTCATGCATTTATTCTAATGAGGCGAAGAAAAGATTATTTTCCTTGCAGTGCGCGGGCGAACGGAGGCGGAACGACCTCAGTTAATTGACAGTCGACACAACAGCCAGAAATTTCCGCAATGAATGAAACCCGAAGGTTCATCACCGTGTTAACAAGAGCCCTCCACCGGTCTCTACAGTGAGCCAGGTAAATCCAATCCACACTCTAACGCCTTATTTCCCTGAGATCCACTTCAATATTATCCTCCCATCTACGTTCAGGTCTTCCGAGTTGTCTCTTCCTTTCAGCCTTTCAAACCAAAATTCTGCAAGCATTTTTCATCGCTCGAACATTCGTGTGTCACGTGTCCCGCCCACCCCACCCCTGAACAGATCGCCATCACCCCTCTCAATGCTCCAAATGAACTTCGTACGGACGCACGACGCAAATTCACTTAATCAGACAGGAACGCGTTCACAAGGGCGAGCGTAGGAAACAGAAGGGAAATTTATAACTTTGACCTCGACAATTGGGACATTTCAGTGCGGTGGGAAATATTTATCCATTCCGTTTGTCACCCTGTGGATATCCAAGGACGTACGTTATACATTTTCACGTTCAGTCCGAGCACAGTCATTTTCAGGCACAGGTATCGATAGTTACACGATCCCCACCGATTCCCACATACGTCGATTCTATCCTGTTTCGTGTTCGTAAGTCCCAGATTCGAGACCATATCTCGTCGGCCCCGCCCAGCGGATAATGCCTTAAGCTACGATAAATCCCTGATAACAAACCAGTCGATTTTCCTCTGAAGTTGGCTGTTACACGACGGCTTTCAACAAAACAGCTTATGGGCCACGATAAATCCCTGATAACAAACCAGTTGATTTTCCTCTGAAGTTGGCTGTTTGACGACGGCTTTCAACAAAACAGCTTATGTCCTTGAATTGGATGTGGGGGGGGGGGCGTGTTGAGCAGCAAAAGGGTTTTGGCGGGAGATGGCAGTGCTCAAGACCCTTCATTCGGCTTTGGAAACGAGCATCGAGAAACCACAAATGAAAATATCCTATCACCCGACTGAGATTCGAACCCGATATTTCTCAGCTCAATTGTAATACGATACGAACCGCAGTTGTCTTCCCGAGCAGTGTTTACTTTAAAGAAACCTTCTGTTCCCATGGAAACGTAAAATTTCTTCTGCTAAGAGGCCACTGACGAAGAAGCGTGTCCAACTATACCCACAACGCTCATGGTTCTGCGCGATATATCTCGTGCGTAGCAGTCACTCGCAGAAGAAGTTACTCACGGTATCTGCGGTGGTGACAACGTCGGCTGGACGACGGCCACAGAAACCAGCTTCCGCCTTCTGCAAGTCACGTGTTTCCGAAGCAGTCTCTGCCACAGGGCAACCGCCTGTTTCTTCTTGCGATGTGCACCCCTCTCGTGGTCGTGTTCCGCGTAATGCTGACAAGTCCTCGCTTGATCAACTTCCGGTGTTGCTCTCAGTGTCTGCAGCTGGTAGTCCTGGAAAGTCACGCAATCCTCACGACACCTGACATGTACTTTGTTTCCTTCTGGCTCAGCTGTTTGGAAGACACGATTTTCCAAAGCACACAGCTGACAGACAGGTGTGTCCAGCTCATACTTGGCTTGAGTTGGGTCGCCCACCGGGTATCCTGACCTTGAACTTCGCTCTTCTGACGCAAACTCATGCCTAGCCTCACATCCCGGTGATATCTGAACAGAAATCGGCGATGCAGTACAAAGAACTCGCTGATGCAACTCGTAGCTTTGGCTCAGATACTGTTTGCCGTCAGATTGGCCGATCTGTGGAAACTGGATTCCCTGAAGAATACTTCCACGCTTCTGTTGTCCATCACGCAGAGATCGCAAATTGGCGTTACCATGAATTACGTTTTGATTATATAAGTGTTTGGGCATGTTCATAAACTTCCCCGACATTCGGCACGTAACACACTGACAAGAAATTGATTCTGACGCATGTTCTCCGGGTCTTCCCTTCAAGATGTGCCGTTGGTGGTATGACTTCATCAGCTCATCCTGATGGTTATGCAAATTATCGCCAATATTAACTGACGAAGAACTGCAATTATCCGTCCAATGAAGACAACCACCCAAATATTCAACCCCACAATCGATATTCACTCCCTGGACCTGTCGATTTAATTCGCCGCCATGTATTTGACACTGGTGACAATTCGCATTCGCCAAAGCTTCGCCTGGCATTTGCCTGTACTGTAAACGTAAAGCCTCTGACGGAATATCGCCTTTCTCCGGCATGTGCCGAGTTTGTTCGCATTCCTGACAGTTTAAAACAGCGACGACTTCCTCTGTCCGATCAATCTGTTGCCTCAACTTCTGCAGCTTGTACTGAAAATTCAAGGTCTCAGACACGTGCCCTATTTTCCTTCTCCTTTGTTGTTGACCACAATTCGAAACTTTCGCCACTTTGTGTGTCTCCTCGCATGTTTCAGGTACCCACCCGTCGTCGTGTTGAAATATCCCAAATTTGTGCACCGGGTCATTTTTCGCGTCACACTTAGAACCTATAATGATCTCCTGTGTTCCCCTGACGACATTTCTCGACGCTTCGATGTTCAGAATCTCTGCCACCTTGTCCAAATCGTTCTGTTGCGTCTCTCCCTTCCCCTCCTGATGCTGCAGAGGCCACGGCTGAACGTCTTCAGCACTTCGCTGTCGCCCTCCGGACAACCAACCCAAACCACCTGCTATCCTCAGTCCATCATCATCATCAACAACATCAGTCAAAGAATACTTCTTAGCACACTTCTGTTCTTGTATTAAATTGGTGAAATTGTCGCCGAATTTCGAGATGCCATCGGAAACTGGCGACTGAACATCTTGAATAACTAATCTCTGTGTGGCAACCAGGTCAAGGAACTCTGTCACGGCATTCCAGTGTGCCTGAGTGAGATCGCCCGAGAGCTTGATAGAATCCAACCGCAGAGGCTGAAGTTTCCCATCTCGACGGCACCATACCAGGGCTCCTGACACAACCATCGCGGCAAGCAGGTTCGCGTGACTGTGTACCCATCAACGAGATGAGACCTAAGCTAACCAGCTCCAATTTCAGGCCACGAGACCTGGCGCCTTCACACTTCTAAGAAAACACACCAATCTCTTAGCCTGGAGGGTACAGTGTCGCCACATTCAGCCGCTAAGTGGCACTATTGGCGAGACAGAAAACGCTCGCTGGCGGTTACTGGAGCCACAGAAAATACTCCGCTTGTTTTCTGTCGGTTCACTGGCGGACTGTAAGCTGCGTACTGACAGATACACATTGCTTCATACCCCGTACATTTTTTTTTTGCGAAAATTTTGACTACTTTCATCCGAAGTATCTGATACAACACAGCATTGCTCACCAAGTTCGTAAGTCGATTACAAAATTATCTAAATGCAAACACGACCTTTTCTTCTTATTCTGCCAACCGAGCTCGACAAATGAACAACAGTTACGTAAACATTTACCCTTGCAGCACAAGAACTATCTCACGAATCATCATCATCAACAATTAAGTGTTCACGCTGACCCATTCATAGGCACACACGTATCACAAAACACACACACACACACACACAAGGTCCTGTATGAATAATATATCCACCGCCCTTGCATGCAATTAACCTCAGGTTCACTGACAGAGCATTCATTTTTTTTTTCGAAACACAAAACACAACCTCCACGTCCACTGAAATGCACCTTCCGGAACTACGAAAAGAGATAAGTATGCTAAACGTCGCCGTCACTAAAACTGCACTTAGCTACTGCAGTTCTCTGTTATGAAATCACCATGGAAACAAAGTGTGAGCGGGGTCTCTCGTGAAATATTAACTACAAATTTAAATATACGTGTTTCTTTCGCCACGTTTGTTTATAAAGTGTGTAAAGCCTGTAATTTCCATGTGATAATTATCAGGTCTTCGGGGTCACCACTCCCCCCCCCCCCCCCCCCAACAGCTTGGATTAATAATGAAGGCAGCAACTGCACTTCCCCAAGTAGAAAAGGAGAACAGAACTGAACATTAAGTTTACGCAACAAATAATAAAGAACAGAGCATGACCCCGATTCTAATTATGGTCGCCAACGCGCCACAGCCCATAAACGGCGCCGTAGAACTATTTGCATCAGCACGGGAGGTCAGTAGCAACAGGCTTTTTACTTCGACGCTGACATACAGGATGTTGCCTCGCAGAGCGGGGGGGCAGAGGAAGGCTGTGTGCTATTCAAATCGGGTCACGAAAAACGTCGGTCTGTTTCTAAGGCGCCTGCTTACGCCGTGCAGCGTCGTCAGATAAAACATGAATTCACGGTTAAACAGTTATCGAAGACTGAGACGACTGGTCACAGCCTGGCTTTCCTCGATTTCTCGGAGACCACAAAATCTTCCGACAAAGTCAGATTTCCGTTTTAGATAAGTTTTACTATAAACAGCGGTGATTTCATCATCCCAAACTGCCTTCTACTGCAGTCAAGCACGCACGGTCACAGCTATTCGTAATTTATTTATTTAACGACTATACAGGTCCGAATATTAAATTGGAAAGGGTGTGGAAGGAAGTGGTCTTGGCATAATTGAATCACTATCCAGGTTTTGCTCAGTCCCTCCGGAACCGTGGAAAACCACGAAAAACTTAACTCGGGATAGCCGGTCTCGGGGCCGAGAATTAAACCCGGGACCTCCCGAATACAAAGCAGGAGAGCCAACATCTCATAGCCATAATGTCCGAGATGAAACTCGGGGGTGGACTGAGAAAGGTTAAATGCCTTGCGTCTGACAAACTAAAACCCAAATCTCAACCGGCCAAACACCTTCGAAAACAGAAATATAAAGGATTTTTCGAACTGAAAGAATTTACAGAGACCAAAGACCCAGACTGAAGACACCTTCGAAAACAGAAATATAAAGGATTTTTCGAACTGAAAGAATTTACAGAGACCAAAGACCCAGACTGAAGACACACACACACGCCGACTGACAGGAACGGCAAACAAACGAAGACCGCTTAAGAGACCGTAAGGTAATTGGCGTAATTGAAGTCGAAATACGTCATCAAACAACGCCACCTCTTGACAACATCCTGATAACAATTACGACCAATGCCTCTCTCTCTTTCTCTCTCTCTATGACGTGCAGATCAAACCAAACCTTGGCCCTCCCATGCTCCAAAGGTCGTATTAACTTCCTGTTACTTCATTTAACGTAGAATGCGAAATTACATACAATTTGCTTTCACACACCCAACCAAACCAAACCAAACCAAATGCAGCGCTTTGTTTAGCCTTATTAGAACGTAAAGAATGCCTCTGCCGACGTTTCACCAAAATGGCCGAGCGTCCCAACAGTTTTACACTGCAATTTGTGATCAACTGACCCGGGTGTCACATGAGCCCTTCTTCCACCCATCCAGTCGATTAATAACTGCGGTCACGCATTCCGGAAGAGGCGACTGTGGTCAGTTCAACTGTACTACGTGACACAGCCACAGACGGAAGTGGCGATCAAAACCCACGACGGCATTCCATCGACAAAACTGATAAGCAAACCGGGGAATACGAAAACAGTTCTATCCACTTCCCACCGTCAAAACCTCCCCAATGTTACCATGTCTTCACCTTCTTCGTCTTCCAATTGGACGCTTTCGCCACTCACATCCTGCAGGTATTATC